TAACTGACTGTCCCTCTTGTGCTTGCTCTTTTGAATATGAAACAGTTTTCCATTATTTTCTTGAATGTCCATTGTATAATGATCTCAGACTTACTTTTTTTACTTTTGTTGATAATTATGGAAATCATAACCATATTGATACAAACATTTTTCTACAAGGCTGTCCTGATTGTGATGGACTAACAAACAGACAGTTACTTAATGATGTACAGTTATTTATTGGTAAATCGAGGCGTTTTAATCTCTATACAATCTAACCAGCCATGACCTTATACTTTATACTTTTATACTTTACTATTCCTATTTCAATTATACTCCACAAATAAGTAACTTTACCTACTTTTCTATAAATGATATTCTTCTACGGACATAGGAGTTTTAAGTTGAGCATGTTTGTTTGTTGTTGTTTGTTGTAAGATTTGCTCAATCTGTCTTGTTTTACAGTTTCCATCTTATACATTGAATTACACATAGACTAGCTATCTATTTTCATAAAAAATATAAGAACTTAACAGTTTTGGCGACTGTGACCTGTGCATATATTTGCACATGGACTTTTGGTCAATGTCTGCCAATATCTGTGTGATTTGATAGCTATATAGCTTATATACAATTGTAAAATGTTATAAAAATAAATAATACCTGTGGAAGTGTTTTGTGTGTGATGTGAGAAGTGTGAATGTATTTGTATTTCAGTTATGTTAATTAGGAAGGAGTTACATCCCTTTAATTTTTTTATTTTTTTTTAATTTTCATTTCAAAATTGATGTATTAATTAAATCAAATAAAAATAATAGAATCCGTTAATTTAGCCACCGCTGGAGAGAATTTATATAGGCTTTGCCTGTTATTCCATCGAATTGACTTGTATGAACTTTGTCAATAAAATTTGTTGAAATGAACTCACTGTTGACCATTTGGACACCAACCTTAACGCCTGTAAGTGAGATATTGCCGACCTTGTGTTTGATTTAATCAGACACGGTACGACCACAACTCGAATAGACGAAAAGCAATCATGAGTTTGAGGACGAGGGTCACGCATTTAGACGGATGTTTTTCATATTGTCCATCTATGCGAATCAAATATTCGACTTGAAGCATTAGGTCACGTTTAGAATTAACTTTTCAAACGCTGTGAAACAAAAATATTAGAGTTGACGTTTGCAGCACTAAGTGTATCAAGTATAAGATTTAGGGTTGACGGCTCTAGCGCTGTGTTAGTAAGTACCACATCAACAGAAGGCCTTTCCAGATCTATTTAAACAACTTTTTAGATTTTAATTGACGTTTTCTTCGCTGTTTAACCAAGTATAAGATAAAGTATGGACGTTTCCAGCGCTGTATAACCAAGTATAAGATTTAGTATGGACGTTTCCAGCGCTGTATAACCAAGTATAAGATTAAGTATTGGCGTCTCCAGCACTGTATAACCAAGTATAAGATTAAGTATGGACGTTTCCAGCGCTGTATAACCAAATATAAGATTAAGTATGGACGTTTCCAGCGCTGTATAACCAAGTATAAGATTTAGTATGGACGTTTCCAGCAGCGCTGTATAACCAAGTATTGGATTAAGTATGGACGTTTCCAATGCTGTATAACTAAGTATAAGTTTAAGTATGGACGTTTCCAGCGCTGTATAACCAAATATAAGGTTAAGTGTGGACGTTTCCAGCGCTGTATAATAAGGTATAAGAGTTAGTATGGACGTTTCCAGCGCTGTATAAACAAGTATAATATTAAGTATGGACGTTTCCAGCGCTGTATAACCAAGTATAAGATTAAGTATGGACCATTCCAGCGCTGTATAACCAAGTATTGGATTAAGAATTGATGTTTTTCAGCGCTGTAATACCAATTATAGGATAAAGAACTGACGTTTTTCAGCGCTGTTCAACCAATTTAACATTGAGAGTGGACGTTGCCAGCACTGTGTATCTACTCCTATACAGCTGTTTGGTATTATAGTTGATGCATAATTTGTATGTTTCTGCGTTGAAACATTTATTGCTGTGCCTCCTTGACAACATGTAATTAACAGTTCGTCAGCTGTGGTAAAGTAGGTAAGTATCCTCGATAGGAATGTGGACACATCGTACAGACAATGTCCGATACATCGCATCAGCCCATGTCCCTTAGGTTGGAGGTCCGCTGATAACCCTTTGTATACAAAAAGTTTAGTAGCTTGGTCAGTTAAAAGATATCGGATTACTATGACTTTGATATATTATCTACGTCAATGACATAATGATATGATTTATACATAACTTCCATACGTACCTAAAATGCACAATCGGATTTTAGAATGACTGATTTCAAATTTGATGGAATCAAGATAATATTCGGAACGATATTAGCATCACCAGCATTAGAACCTAAACTATAACAGTAACATTTTACTCATTAGGTTTAACTCATAAGAGGTGGACTCTTAGCGTAACTAATTGAGATTGGTCCAATACGTTCTCTCTACTGGAGTCTACTTATTAAAACGATTGATTTCTTGATGTCAAAGTTAAGCAGCAGTGAATTTGCATTTAAATTTATGGTATTTTTATTTCCCTGTGCACTGCTTAGTTATTATTCTGGTCATCACTTCATCAAAAGGTTTTCGTGAATTTACAGTTCGCAGAAAATTATCAGTTAGAGAAAATGATACCATTCCGGAAAACAACCGTTATTCTGACATTATTATGTTCGGGCAATTTTATGGTATGCATGACTGCGACCCTTTTATTCATATATATTCTTTATGTCTTTCCTGTTGAAATTGACAGAAGCATTCAATGCCGATCGATCAAGATTTAAAACGACGTACGATATTGATTACATAACTTATTTCGAATAAAAAAGCAACATAGTTATAATTCAATTATTACCATGGTATATTAGTCAATAGTAACTACTGATACAAATAGCAACATTTTTATTCACTTCCTGTAATATACCATCAGCCGACATTGAATTTTCTCCAATACAGATTACACCATGTAGGGAAACTACATTGTAACCTAAGTAACTATCTACTGTACAGGTATTTTACACTGATTGACTTCTATTGTTAATAAGGAATTATATATTTATGCAATTACTATAAATAAGTAAAAAAGACGTCAATATAAGTATACAACCTTTGTTGTTTTATTAGAGATCTCGTTACCGCTATGACTATTTGGCAGGTTGTTTTTATGTGCAGACATCGTTATAGAGTAGGAAGTATAACGTAATGAGAAGGCAGGCTTGAAAGGCGCTCTTTATCAATGTAGCATATGTATTAAAATGTGTACAGTGCAATTCATTTCCGCACTGCTATATAGCGGAAACATATTCATTTATGTTGGTTTTCTGTATTCAAAGTATTGTCATCTTTACCTTCTAAGCACATCTATCGAAGTTTCTTTTTATTTACTTTTTTTTCAATCTGACAAAACCTTGATTAAATCTATCGCGCGCATATAATGCTTACGTTTGTGTTTCACAAATAGTCTTACCTACCACAAAGTATACGTTCATTGTGTAAGATGTGAGTGAACTTTTTCAAAATTTCAATTTTACGGTAATCAAGATTGACGAGCGGCAACGTAACCGAACGAAGGTACTTTATCATTATGACATACTTTTTCAACACTTTTAATGCTTGCGTTAACGAACAAAATGTGGCATTCCTCAGATAATGAATGTATAAGATAAAGTGTATTAAGTTAGAAAGGAAGGTGAAGTAGAACAATACATATACAACGTAAATACACTATGACAAAATCCAACTTTTAAGTCGAGACCAACACACAACAATAACTTGGTGGACAACGAAACAAATGGAAAGACACCATACCTTCTAACAAAACACAAGGTGTACCGGAAGTGGTTTGCTATATCACATGTCATGATGTTTCTTAGAACGTCTGTAGATGAATTTACTCTTGAAATAAAATAATCGTCATTGCTGTAAGTAAATATGTGAAGTTGGTTAATGTAATCAGCAAATGATGTTTTGAGATTTAATTTGCGTTCTCGGGACATCTCCCCGCATACTCCTTACTTCGATTGTTAAGTCAACATATGATCAATGTTAATTGAGCTGCGGGCAAGGAGTTATTTTAGTACTGGCTGCATCGACATTATTTCGTAACACTGTTAAGAGGTACAACTAAAGTTGCAATGGACGCCATGATTTAAACTCGAGGTATATTGTCCGCTGACATTAAAATTTAAATGTCTCTATATAATTGAACTAATTTCGAACGAAATGTAGAACTTCGTTATGAGCATAATATGATGCACATAAAAAATCAACTAATTTAGGATAAGAAATATAGTGATTAAAGATAAGTTAATATATTACATTTCACTAAATAAATTGTTTGGATGTTTACACATGATACGGGAATGATATCTTGTATGGTAGGGGCCCGCCACGGGTTAATCTTTTAGCATTGTCTGTGTGTAAGTTGTAGCACACCTTCATGATGAGGTATTTAGCAGTGCATGTTACCAACCGGACCTGACTCTCGTGCAATACACGTGTAGATGCCATCAGCACTAATACCTAATTTTGAGGCTTCATTACAGAGCTTGTTGACGGATATATTACTGAAGACAGGAGAGGAAAAACACGTTTAACTGTATAGTTGAACAATTCTTTAACTTTCCTGAACATGTGTAAAACGTAGCTGTGATATCAAACCACATGATACTGTTTCCATCGGAACGCAGACACGAGCATATGCACGGGAGACGAAAGGAAACATGCCTTTTTCATTGAAGGCAGTGTTTGGAGTAAGGCCTTTTGTATTATCTTTGGGGCTATGTTTTATGTCATGTGTGTTTATTTGTTTGGCAGATCCAGCCCGCTTAGGCGATTTATGTGATTCTGACACCAAGTGCCGTAGTGCTGTTGACCATTCCGTTTGTGGATTTAACCGGAAATGCATTTGTGAAAGGAGACGTTACCCAGAAAACAACGGGACGCTTTGTCATGAAAGTAAGTAATAGCTTTCTATTCCATGTCACTGTAATCCATACACATTCTACCTGTGAATCGTGTTAGAGATAGCTAAGATCTTTTAATCAAATAGTTAATTAAATGATTTACATGATTCTTAATGAAAAAAGTGTAATTTGATATGCTGCATCAACACAGTATGACAAAATGCAGGTTGCATATTTAATATTAATTATAAACGGTCTTATTTCTAACTATGAAAATGCTCTTATCCTGCTCTTTCAATTCAGAATACTGTGACCTTGTTCATCCTAGATTACTAGCGTTCTTTAATCCTGCTTAAATGAAGGCAATACTACTTATAAAATAAAAAAGCATTATTTGAAAAACAATATGTTTGATGCTGATTTCATTGATTACGTCATTACAGTATGAAGCAATTAAATGGTTAATGACATTTTTTGTCGACATGATGTGGAAAACAATTATTTTCATAACATGTGATACACCTGTTACGTTCTGTAAACGTGCTCGTTTTAGTCGTTATAACACTTGTTACACATTTATTTTCATCACATGTGATACACCTGTTACGTTCTGTAAACGTGCTCGTTTTAGAAGTTATAACACTTGTTACACATTTACTTTCATAACATGTGATACACCTGTTACGTTCTGTACACGTGCTCGTTTTAGTCGTTATAACACTTGTTACACTTTTATTTTCCTACCATGTGATACACCTGTTACGTTCTGTAAACGTGCTCGTTTTAGAAGTTATAATACTTGTTACACATTTACTTTCATAACATATGATACACCTGTTACGTTCTGTACACGTGCTCGTTTTCGTCGTTATAACACTTGTTACACATTTATTTTCATAACATTTGATATACCTGTTACGTTCTGTAAACGTGCTCGTTTTAGTCGTTCTAAAAGTGTGATCTAAAACCTTGATATATGAAACCTGACTATTGTCATTGACATGTGAAAATATGAGTACTGTATTAGACGTAAATGGTATACGATAATTACCCTAAACACCTTTCAATCAACTTGAGAATACCTCATTAAACTTGAGATTATATATCATCAAATATAGTATATAACTCGATCAGCTTTAGGATATTACAGTTTTGGGATGTATACCAACCATCCTTAGGTAATATCATTCAACTTGAAAGTATACCAGTGTTGGTGCGTTTTATACACTACATATGTATAAGCAACACAAGTTTGTTTCAAAGTCAACCTGTGCCAACGATATCGGTGTGGACTACATGGGTCAGCTGAATTGTAAATGTCAAAAGTCAATAAATGGGAATGCTATGAGGGCTACTTATAATCCCTCGTCTACGTACTATCTGTTTGTGTGGAGACAGTTACAGAAACAGCTTCCTTCACCTAACAAATACACCCGCGCACGTTCTTTATCTACACTGTTTACAGAACAGCGTCACTATTTACAGAACAACGTCGGTAAGAAGGATATTGTCAGATAATAGTGCTGCATTTGTATGAAGTCAAATGGATATTTTACAAAACAATGAAGCTATCATTTCACTTTTTATGTAATAACAATAGAAATTTCATGGAAAAGTAAGAATCTTCGTAAAGCTATAATGGGATCTTAACTGACTCTAAACCTGTCTTTATTTTTATTATGTCTGGTATAAAACACAGCGTACTCTATAGGAATAGGGAAAACAAATTAAAACCCCTGTTGATAAGTATCTTCATATCGAACCCCCTGCTGTCAATGCGTAATACTATTTGAAGTGCACATTTAGTTTTGTTATATGTTCGTTAGTATATTTAGTATAAACGATGAATATTCATGTACATAACATATACAGTATCTAAATGGGAAAATGTTCAAATTATATATTTTTCAAATCATTCACTGAACTTGAACAAATCTGAAATTCGTTTGGTTAGCTTACTAAAAGTAGCTTATTTCGTTTAAAAGTTAGCTATAAAAGTAGGTTAGTAATTTAAGAATATTTTTTGCTGATCGTTATTTACCTAATTGTGATGAATGTAAAACAACTTAATTTTATGGGCATGAATATTTTTATCTCACAAATGTTAACGTATTACTATATGTTCTCATTGCATTATGAAGGACAATCCATCAGACTATATTGTGAGAGAATAAGGCCTTGGCAACGATCGAGCACACAATTAGTGATACAGAGGTCACACGAGCTTATCACTAAGCTAGCGTTCCCCATAACCTAGTTAAAAGTCAATGTAATACACGTGCATCTCATCAACTTGTCGACGGTAGGTAGGAATGTAGGAGTTGGCAGACACAATATCACAATAAAACAAGCACCATTCTATTTTCAGATCTTGAAAATGATTTGAGTTTAAAACGGTTTTCTTCTGTAATAATTATATAGTAAGAGGGTAAATCCATTGTCGTATGTATGGCTAAGAAGGCATTTGTGAACGCTGTAGTTTTCGTCGGTAATTAATGAATATATTGTTATAAAGACATGTTGCCTGTTTATATAGTGAACAGTTTTAAGTCACCTGAAACATCAAAATCTGATATTCCTTCTGCATTCTTTGGAATTATGCAATACGCAAAGCGGATTATTCAAGTAGATATATATCTATAAAAGCATTTACAAAGTTTATTTAGCTTATAGATCTTTGTATAGCTGCCTTAGGCCAAGGAGGATAGGTGTTAATTGCACAAAAGGAAGAGCTTTAATGGTATGCACATCAGCCGAACAGGTTATTAAATTAACCCGACCATGTAGCACTGGGGCTGGACGTAACCTATTGGTACCAGTCTTGTGTGTTGAGAACCAGTCTAAGCTTTCTATGACTGACAGGGACAGCTATGGAATGTGTAACAATTGGAATATTGATATCAAAGAACAATCTCGTGGCAGTACATTGATAGACACTTGAAAAGTAAATCAAGATTTAATTGTATAAACAAACGTTTGGATACGTGTCTGTTGTGGTAGCATCTGGAAGCAATTAGTACACCACCTGTTCCCAGACGATAGGCGTTTAGAGCCATGTTTTCTCACCGTTCTAAATAAATGATCTGCAAGATACCTCATCCTTCATTTGGGTAATGATGATATACACTTCACAAAATGACTCGAACGCTCTTTACAGCGCAAGTCTTATTATCGTGGTGCGAGTAACAAAGTATATTTAAATGTGTAATGCATGTACACGTACACTCGAGTCCGCATGCATATCGTTGGTTTTTTGTGACTATAGGGAGAAACAATTTCAACATTTGTTGTCTTAAATAAGGATTGCCGATATATAACAGCATAGTATATTTTGACAGTAAATATCATTTAAAAAAAACCTGTAGTCTGTCCCTACTTCCACTAAAATATATATAACTTTCCGTGTAGCTTATCAAGGTGAATGTTCTTCTATTTCTGTTTTACCATCGTCGGTGTTTAGGTCAACGTCGGAAAAGACTTGAAGAGCTTATCTTGAATTAAAATCTTTGTCATGAACTGATGTTTTAACTATCATTATTTAAGACAAATAGCCAACACAATAAACGTTTTGGACAACACTTACTCTTCCGGAGCAAATTGGGTCACCTATGTTTAAAAGGTGTATCCAGAGTGCATTATTAGAGTTTTTAAGCATTGATTACTTGTTATCATGTTTTGTTTCGATTGAAACGTTATGAATATGATATGTATGCAAATTACATCTCCACTAAAAAGGAATAGCAATCGAAGATTTATAAATGTGAGATTGGTGTAATATAGATATGAGGGTTGTAAGCAATGAAAAGAAGGTTATCTGTGATTGTGCAGAAGAAACAAAGACTTATAGTTTGTCTTATCACTACAACTTATGGTGCTTAACCAAATGAAAAGCTGATAGGCGTATGTATTGATCAAAGGACAATATTTCCTTAGATTCATTAAATTAAAGGCATTCCTTCCACATTATATGTAACCATCTTTCATCATTGTTTTATTCCGCCACGCTACTGAATAAAGTTTCCAAAACGATTGAGAAAGTTCACAAACAAACACTGAGGGTCATATTTGATGTAGATGATGATTTTTAGCGGTGCGTATCTATTTGTTAAATTAACTTGATTGTCTTTCGCAAAAGGTTTGATGAAATGCATGTGTATTCTATTGATTGGATACGATCCGTGTTCTAATCTGCGATAGAATCATGATCAATCGTGTTAAGCTCCTTTCATCGCACTTAAGCCACGCCCCGTTTCTTACCAAAACAAAATGGCGTCAAGCTCGCGTCTTAGCGAAATTCCGATGATAAAACTAGTAGGCGACAGCACAGAAACGACCGATGAAATGCATTTGTTGAATGAATTAAAAAAGTAAAAAGTACACATTCCTTGTTCTTACCTCCATTTATTACTGAAACGTTCGTTCCATCCGTGTGAATGCTGCTATTTAGATCCGAAATCAAATGAAACATTTCACATGTGTCCTATGCATTTACACAAAATTCTTCACAAATCTATACAAATAATCACCGATTTTGTTGATAAGCACTGATTGGTATGCATACTAAAATGGAAACGTAAAAACTTGGTCAATATTAATCCAAATATGTCGTATAAACTTTGGTAACAGGACGTTCACGAACAATCCAAATATCCCGCCTCGTGAACATACAGATCGATCTCTCGCCAGTATAAGCGGGGCCAAATGACGGACTTTTGAAAGATTCTTTCCGATTGGTCAGTCCGCTGCAGAATTGCACTTTGCCAGTTCAGGTCACAAAGTATTTTACTACGTATTTTTGTACAACGAAATACAATGTTTCTAAACAGATTAGCGTAATATATTTGTAAAGGTGTGTTAGATTGGGGATAGAAGGTCGTTTTTCGTGTCTATACTGGCGATAAGAACATGAACTTAGGTTTAAACTCTCGACCTATCGGTCTCGAGTTCAAACTCAAATTTCATATTCTAATCGCCAGTATAGCCACTCAAAACAACGTGCTATCCCCTAATTAGTGCTAATTTCATAAAATTTATTCAAACTAAAAAATCTGC